TCCTGAATGAATAATTAGTTATATACAGCACCTATAGATATACAGTGTAATGCAACATTATAAAGAGAAAACAATGTTCAACCAGCTTTGCATCATTACAATGCAGGAAGTATGGTAATGGTAAATGGACCTGTACTTGTATAGCGCCTTTCTAGTCTTCCGACCATTCAAAGCGCTTTTACACTACGTGCCACATTCACCCTTTCACACACATTCACTCAGTGATGGCAAAGTCCATCGAACAGAAACTAACATTCATACACATTCACACACCAATGCACAGCATCAGGAGCAATTCAGGGTTCAGTATCTTGCTCAAGGATACTTCGACATGTGGCACCAGGAGCCTGGGATTGAACCCACAACCTTCCGATTAAGGAACGACCCGCTCTGAGCCACAGCCGCCCTGTATGTATGTGCAAATGAGCTTGTTGCCTGCACCCAGAGTTCTCCGCTCATTTGCCAGGAAGAGTGTTTTGTGTTTCACGTAATCCTTTTGTCATCTCTAGGGCTTGTACTTGTACTACATGCCTGCCTCCACAAATTGTCGACTCGAGAGAGGGAGGGCTCACAAAACTCAAATCAAACCGTCAAACCAGAAAGTGCTGATCAAATCTAAATTCAATTCAGTTCAATTCAATTTTATTTGTATAGCACCAATTCATAACAGAAGTTATCTCAGGACACTTTTCAAATAGAGCAGGTCTAGACCGAACTAATATATAATTATTTACAGAGGCACTTGGCGACGGCGGCAAGGAAAAACTTCCTTTTTAGAGGCAGAAACCTAGGACAGACCCCAGCTCTAGGTGGGTGGCAATCCAGTTGGGGTGAGAGAGAGGTAAAGACAGAAGGACAGAGACAGAGGTTAAGACAGAGACAAAGGTGCACAGCAACAACAGTAGCAACAACTACAGTTATAGTAGTGACTGATGGTGATAATGATGATGAACATGAACAAGAGGATGACAATGATGACAACAACAACGATGGGGGACAATGAGCAATGATTATAGTAATAATAGTATCTGTAGTAATAATAATATTACTAATAATAATAACAATAATATCAGTGATATTAGCAATGGCAATCTAGCAGGACCATGGCAGGAGGCTCCACCAGGATCCATGAGAACCTGCGAGACGAGAAAGCACAAGAACTCCGGGGAAGAAGTGAAGTTAGTAACATGCATTAATGGAACATGAATGAGTGCAGAAAGAGAGAGGAAGGGAGGAGCTCAGTGCACCATGGGAAATCCCCCAATAGTCTAGGGCTGCGTTTAATTAGTCGTTCAACATGCCCTCGTTCACTTGCCCTCGGGGGAATCCCCGTCGCCATCATAAGTGTCGTTCCAATTGTCTGGAAAACTAAAGTGAACTTGGTGAGATGGACCCTCGGAGGGCTGAGGGAGCGAGTGAACAACGATGGTCACTCCGAGGTGGATATCACCCACAATGCATTGCGTTTCGTCATTGCGTATTAGGGCGTGCTTTCATTTAAATCCCCGCTCCTCCGCCCACTTCCCTGCCAAGTGGCCTCTGTGCGATGTATGCTGTTACGTCATACCAAGGGCTGAGGGTAAGTGAACGAGGGGAAGTGGAACTAGTAATGAAATGCAGCCCATGCCTATAGCAGCATAACTAAGGGATGGTTCAGGACTCACCTGATCCAGCCCTAACTATAAGCTTTATCAAAGAGGAACGTCTTAAGCCTACTCTTGAATGTGGAGAGGGTGCTTTTAGAGACTAAATCAAGATTCTGTTACAGCAATGCCTGTTTAGGGGAAAACTATACAGTCATTCACACTTCTGTGGCATTCTAGAAAGCTACAGAATGCAATGTATGTTCAGCCAGCTGCAAAACAAGGTCATTCCTTCTGTTGACTGCATTGTTTTCCCTCCCAATATATGTGTTAGACTTCTTCTCCCTTTACTCATTCCATGACATTTGATGACATTTCAGTGATTCCAGAGACGTCACAATAAGTAAACATTAAGTAGCACAGTACAGGCTTTCATCTCTCCATCCTGTCTTTAACTTCCTGCCTCATTCTGAATGTTGAGCGTCATCAGAATCATCTGACTGCAAACAACGTATTGGATTATGCCGAGCTAATGGTGATCCTATGAGTGAGTTTCACCTACAGCTGATAGAGAGGCTTTGCATCTAAAACTGCCAGCAGAAAACCAAAGCACCACATTCAGTACAGCGACACTCTATAAGAATCCATCTTTACACAGTACATGTGTGCCTGTTTAGACAGTATGATCTATGACATCTATGATAATCAGAATCAGAAATACTTTATTGATCCCTGGGGGGGAAAGCTGTTAAATAATTTGTTAAATAATCAGCCAATACATCCTTCATTAATCAGTTCAAACATGTATATTCACCGGAATAATACATATATACCATCAATATAGATAATATACTGTATATAAAAACACACTTTTACTATACCTTTTATTCAGTTATTTCCAAATCTGTATCATATACATATATCACTACATATATTTTTAGTCTGGACAGACATGGATGTAAACTGCAACTTGACTGGTTAGCAGAGGCATACACTCAGAGGGAGGTCATTGTAGTATAATAAGTATAATCTAGCAATGTTATGCACTTCTCAGACTGGAAGACTGGCCTCATGTTTGAGGGGGTTTCATGAAGATTTCCCTTACTGTCCCACTATTTATTTAAAAAAACATATTCTGTATTTATTACAGGTTATTATGTGGAAGTGAATGAGAAGAGACTGTTCAAGGTCCCATTGAAGCATCAACTCTCATGGCTGCCCTTGGTCATCTCTCCCCTTTGCCTGTGGTGGTTTATTACACCATTAATGTTTTTCTCAAACTTGACAACACAGTGTTTAACATGTTAAAGTTTGTTCTTCAAGAGGTACAGGAGGAGCTTCTGACAGATATAGGTCATACTGTAAGTGTTCATGTTCCAAACAAAATGTACATCTCAGAATGTATGCAAAACGATATCATTGAAACAAACTATGGTGAGCCGTTTGTCATATCAAAATCTGTCAGTAATGATTTGGTTGCTCTGTAATTGTGTTCTTGGACCTAAATCAGTTGGATACTGAGCATATAACAACAGCCCTCACTCTGATGGCGGTCTGTGCTGTGATGGTGCTTCTGTGATGGTCAAAGAGGTTGAGTCTAGGCATTGCTGCACTGGCAGACCTGTTCCATACGATACGGTGGCCGACAATGTTATTATAATATTATAATAACATTATATAATATTTTTGTGTGTTTTTGGTATTTGCAGCATTTCTCTTTGGCATTTGTTTTGTGGGTTTGTAAGTTTGTGCTCCGTTTCTGTGATTGCAGCATTTTTCTGTTGCTGCGTTTTTCTGTTGCATTTGTTTTTATGTGTTTGTGTGTTTTTGGTTTTGCATCATTCCTGTGTTTGCAGCGTTTTGCCATTTGCGGCGCGTTTGCCCTTGTCGGCCACCGTAGTTCCATACATACACATCAGCTGATCCTGGCAGTGGTTCTGCAAGCCAGGAGGTTCACTGCCCTCACATTATACAGCGCTAGAACACACACTCTCTGAAGAGACCAGTGCAGATACAATGGGCAACTGTACGCTATCTTGGATGTTCTCTCTGAGGTTTCAGAGGATAGTGCTGCAGGGATATATATGCACAGAGGCAGCAGGGCTGTTAGCACAGCTAAAGAAACATGTGAATTCCTGGTAGGGGTTCTTGGGGCTTTGATGTCTGCTAAGTCTTTTCAGCTGGGGAGATCATCACTGCCTGTTTGCAGGGAAGAGTCAGGAGATAATTCATGAGATCAGTTAGAAAGAAAGATGCTCCACCTGCAACAGAGGGGCAGAGAGTGGTGAGCAAGCAGCTCTCCGGCAGTGCTGTGCTCTCTCTGTCACAGTGAGCCAGGTTTCTCTAAAACAACAATCCTAGCTGCAGAAATAACTCAAATTGAAAAGTTGAAAATCTGGACCTGATGAAGGCAGTAAATTACCTTCTCCCTCCCTCCGTCTAATCTGACCCCAAATGTGTTCTATTTAAACCGCAAGAAGAACATACCTATACAGGATGTAGTGTACAGCACTTTGGGTGGTCGGAACACTAGAAAGGTGTCTCTCTCTCTCTCTCTCTCTCTCTCTCTATATATATATATATATATATACATATATGTATACACAAATATACTATTTGAAATACTGTAAGTATTCAACACATCAATATTTTTTTCACTAAACACATTTCCAATGCAGCTCTTCATGTGAAGTTTAGACCAGACATTTATATTAATTCAATAAAACTACACAGATATATAAATCCTAATATGCACAATGAAGTGGAATGATTCAGAAAAAAAGTATTGAACATAAATATATATATTAATATATATTATTATTATATTGAATATATTTATAGGGAGATTGCAAACAAATGGCTCCATGTTTAACATGATCACAAAATTGGGTTTTGTTGCCCTCACACCTTATATATATTATTTTCTGTTTTATTTTGTCACTTCCTGTCTTTGTCTGTTTTCCCCCCAGTTTGGATTGTCTCCCCCTCACCTGGACCTGTATCCATCTACATACCTGCCTGTCTACCAACCTGTCTACCTGCCTGTCTACCTACCTGTCTACCTGCCTGTCTACCTACCTGTCTACCTGCCTGTCTAGCTGCCTGTAAGATCGATGTATTGTGTTATCATCATTGTGTTAAATCACGGAAGTCATCCCGCTACTGTCTTGTGTTTGGGTCAGGTCCTGAGTGTATTAATAATTAATGTATGTAATTATTCAACAACCAACAACACAGTGAACAGTGCAGCTTCATACAGCTCATTCTGACCCACACCTCCAACACTGCCCCAACAAATCCACCTGAAGATCATCATCATCATCATCATCAACATCATCATATCGACAGGAAGAACAGCCATTGTTGTCATTGCTTACTGACAATCTGTAGCTGTACAGCAGAAAAAGTGAGCAAGTACTGGAGCTCCAGCTGTAAGTGTGTGTGTGTGTGTGTGTGTGTGTGTGTGTGTGTGTGTGTGTAACTTATCAGCTGTCTGTTTACCTGAACAGAGGAAGGTTGCCAAAAGAGAGTACAATCAGTTTCCTTCTCTTCTCTGAGAGAGAGAGAGAGAGAGAGAGAGAGAGAGAGAGAGAGAGAGAGCAGCCCAGTGTGTTGCAGCAGTATGAAAAGGCTCCATGCCTGTGTGTGTGTGTGTGTGTGTGTGTGTGTGTGTGATGATTGGCGCCATTACAGTGGGATAATTGGAGAAAGCTCAGAGGAAACGGTCTGTTTCTCTTTCGGAGATGTCAGCCGCTGATGGTCCGAACGGCACCGGAGCGTCTGCAGCCCCGGACTATGAATGGAGGTATGAGTACTACGACGACGAGGAGCCGGTGTCTTTTGAAGGACTCAGAGCGCACCGCTGTGAGTAGCTCTTTAACTACAATCCCAACAGTACGAATACTACTACCAATAGTACTAATAATAACGGTACTAATACTACTACTACTAATACTAATACTAATAATAATAATAATAATACTAATACTAATGCTAATAATAATAATAATAATAATAATACTAATACTAATACTACTACTGCTAATAATAATACTACTAATACTAATACTAATGTTTGCAGAGTACTGTGGATTCATCCTCACATCCTCTATCTTGTTTTTGTGTTTTTTTTGTAGACTCTATAGTGATCAGTTTCTGGGTCGGCCTGGCTGTCTTTGTCATCTTTATGTTTTTTCTGCTCGTGCTCCTGACCAAGACTGGAGCTCCACATCCTGAGTGAGTCACAGCAGTTCACTGATGAAAGTATCAGCCCAGCAGCTGAACACAGTGAAGTTAACAACGCTACCAATTCATTGTCTTCACAAACTGTCACATAATAGAGTGGAAGACTTCATGTGCAGACTGCAGTGGTCCATGTGTCGGACTCTCAGCTGACAGGGACTGACTGCACACTGCCTAAATGATGATGTTAGGTGTGCAATGCATTTGGGGATACTGTAAAGCTCAGAGGTCACATGGTGTTTAAAGTGTATTTGGAGCAGCCTTTGGAATGAGTCTGGTGAAACCCTCTCATATTCTGTCTTACACTGCACACTTCTAAAGTCCCTGTAATGTGACACAGCTTCAATTCTAAATGCATCTAGAAACCAACAGAGCCTCAACTATTGTTTAGTCGTGCCTGTTCATGTTGACATTTGCAGTAAAATGTGATTCCAGCAGAGTTCAGCAAGACTACCATCCATTCACTGATGTGCTCATTAACTGAGAAATGGTTAAACTGGTGAGGGTGATGGGTGTCTCTCAACCCGAACAACAATGTGTACGGCCACAGGGCCCCATTGTTGTCTAAAAAACACATCATTGAGCCACACTGTTGCACTGGCTGACATGTTCTATCATTACTATGAACACACTGCAGTTTATTTAGACTCAGTCACTCATACACTGTCCTACTTTCCCTAATACTCACCAGAGCACCAAATGTGGATTAATCCGCCGCTGAATATAGTCCCAAACAAATGCATTTCCTCCTGCCTGAGTAACGTTTGTTAAAAACTGAAACAACGACTCCCACCCTTTGCACAGGTTTATTGTCCCAAGATGGAGAACAAATCATTCTAAAAATAGCTTTGTTCCAGCTGCTACCATTCAGATCAACAAGGTGTAGTAACATGGCATGAGTTTTAGTTGTTTTTACATGAATTTATTTATTCAAGTGGTTATTTATTGTAGTTCTTTTTTATTGATCTCTTTTTGTAACTTGTTATTTCAATCTGTATTCACACATGCAGAGCCAGCGGCTGTCCAATGTCCCCTGAGTTATTATGTTAGCAGACGTGTCCCACTGATACTGTCCCTTCCTAATACTCTGATCTGTCAGATCAATGGTTCACATGTCGTCAATGAAAGGAGGGTAATTTTGTTCTTTGGCTCTAGACCATCATCTGCAGCATTTCCACTGGGCTTCTCTGAGAGTTCCACTCATGGCTCCCAGAAAATAGACTTGACGCAGAAAAGGTCGTTGCAAGTCTGTTTAGCTCCGTGTGAAGAGCTAGACTGACTCACAGTCAAGCCGGAATCAAAAGGGAGCCTTTGTTTTGTTCTGTTTCACATTTGGTGAACCCGCTTGGAAGTGTGACAGTGCACAGTTTATACTAAACAGTCGACTGTTTAGGATCAAACTAAAAATGCACTAAGTTTAATATGCGATCTGAGTGAGGGGCTCAAGCACAATTTTCCATCCAACATGTATTATTTCCAGGATATTTGATCATTTTAATCCATTTTCAGGTGTTTCCAGGACTGAAAAACTACTTTGTCTATCCACTAGTCTATCCTTTATGGGTCTGAATTTCTTAACAGAGGAAAGCGGGTACAAACATCGTCCATCCATGTTGTGTAGGTGCTGTAGGCAGTGTGTGAAATGGTTTCTGGTAGACCCAACGTGCTGAACTTCAGACTGTGATTTGTGAAGCAAACAGGGACAACTGTGTCACTAAAGATCAAATAACAACATCCATCTCCTGCTGTTAGTGATTTACACAAACTTTAGTGGAGCAAAGACCCTGCAGGAAGTTGCCATCACAACAATGAACACAAATTCAACCAATCCCTGTGCATTGTGCCTGCCTTTTTTGCAGCTTTGACCAATCAGTGTTGTTTAGTGCGTAAACGTTGAGCTATATGACCTCAGACTCACTTCCTTGTTTCTGAAGCTGCAGACCATGCAGGCGTCTGCAACAAGGAACATCTCACATTTTCCCCTCCAAACATTTTACTCTCACAAGTTGCCTTTGATTTTTTGTATTTTTCTATTAATTATACAAAACATATAAAAACGCAACAGTTTTGGCAGTTTGCCCTTTCTCGTGCGTGTAGCTCCCCATGTTGAAATGTACGTGTTGTGCCAGATGCCCTTGATGTGGCAGAAGGAAAACGTTTCATGGGAGTGCCGTCCTAGTGCTTTTCTTTATGAGTTATGAGAATTTAGGACTACCCAGTCTTTATAGTCTTAATGGGAATTAATAAAAAATGCCTAAAATCATTGCAAGCATCGCACAAACTGCAGTGGAATCACAAATTTAGGCAGCAACAATTAAAAAAACCACAAAATCCTGGAGGGACTGAATATTGAATGTACACCTCAGTTCTGTCGAGCCCTCTGTAAAGTATATATATTTTATTATGTTGCTGTTTGTTCAGTCCTTTCTGGTTCACTGTATCCTCTCTGTCATCCTTTCCATGTAGCGGCACTGGTCAGCCATGTGAGACGCGGCCCCGTCTGATCGGCTACAGGGACACCGACCTCAACAATGGAGCCCCTCCTCGTCCTAGTGGCCTGGATTCCTGCTCTCTCTCCTGGTGCTGTGTGTCCAAGGAGGTGAGCTCCAGAGCCCCGTGCAGCATAGCTGGTGGTGTGGGTGAAGGAGGACGCCACAGGAGGCCCAGCAGCAGTCTGGAGATGGGGGACGCCACGCTCCTGCAGGAGCTAGCGGTGACAGATAATGGGATGGAGAATGAAGCCATCCTGCTGGCCCACTTCAACATCCCCAACTGTGTGAACTCTGAGCACAGCTCAACGGTAGGGGAGGACGACCTGCTGCTGGGAGAGCCGGAGCTGCCAATCATCCTGGAGGGGCGGGATCGCAGCGGCAGGAACCGTAATGATTTCACATCAGCCTGGAGAGCTGAGAGCAGCTACTCATCAAATGTGATCACTCAGCGGATATCTGAAGACAGCACTGGTTTCATTGTGACTCAACTAGGGCTGGGGGTAAACGATTATTTCTTAAACCATTAATCGGGCGATTATTTTATCGATTAGTCGACTAATCTAACGACTAATTGGACGATTAACGTGAGTTAGCTAACGTTAGACAGATAACGTTAAAAGCTACTGCAATCTTCTTGCTACCGTTAGCTAGATCTAGCAGCTGTGCACTTTGGTGGTGCTAGGCTAACCAACGCGTCTGAGCTCTCTCTCTGAAACGGAGGCACCGCTTTGCCACTCGCGAAGGAGACAACAACAAGCACCAACGCTGGCCAAATCAATCTCATGCCCGTGCAGCGCGCCGCGCAGCCCGAGCTCCGTGCACCCCGGTGGCACCAGCCAACCACCCCAGCCCCCCGCGCTGCCCGCCCGCGGCAGGCCAGCAGCCAAAACCCACGCCAGCCAACGTTAGCTACTATAGATAGCTGTGTTCTGCAGCTGTAAGCCGGCTACCATTCAAGCCAACATTAGATTATAACTAACGTTAACTAACCCAGCACGAACAAACCGCACGGAGAGCCAAGACAGCCAGCCAGCACCACCGAAGTGCGCAGAGCCCGAGCCACACAACACACCACACGAACATGAAACCAACCCAGCCAACGCCAGCACCCACCCGCCACCGTCTCCTCCACGAGCGACAACGGGGCGCCTCCGCCCCAGATGCTCCCACATTGCCAAATGGAGTTGGTATACCACACCAGCACAACAGCAAAGAGCACAAATAACCACACCTTTACTTTGGGACTAAATTTGAAGTATTCCCATACCTTCGATGATTGAGGGCGAGCTGTTTTTTTAGGACTTTTTCTTTTATTGGGGCTTTTATTGGGAATTCTGTGAGGAGGTTGCTGTTTCGTCCTCCATTCTGCAATGTTTTGGTCTCCCACGTGTGTGTGTAGAGCTGTGGCGAAGCGTCGACGTAGAAATTTGACGTCAACGTATTTTTGACGTTGACGCGTCGCTACAGGCCTAGACTAAACATTGATGGATTAAGTGTTTACACCTCCGGACGTTCAAATATTCACCGACTGCTCACAGAATACACCGACTGCCAAACCAGGGACTCACTGTCCTCCACAAAACCTCACTGTCCTTCTTATTAGTGGAAACAGAAGACAGAAAGCTGCAGACTGGCAGCCCATTGTGACACTCGCGTCAGAAATCAGTGTTTCTTCTTGGTCCTGCAGGTGGATGTTTGATCTTCAGTGTGCAGAATGAACAGAGGGACGCTCATCCCTGTCCTCCTCCTCCTCTGTCTCTTACAGAGTAGGAGTGTATGTGGACTGTCCTGCTGACACTCTGTTCTTCTACAGTGTCCTCTGACACAGTGATCCACCTCCACACCTTCAACAGCACATTAGTAATGTCCATACGGTCAGTGGTAATGTGTCACAGTCATAATGTTCAAATTTATAAAGGATAAAGTGTATTCATATGTTTCATAATATTGTTATTATTACTGTGTCTCTGTATTCATTGTATATATTAAATATATCTGTCTATGTTACGTCTGACATTTAAGACTTCACATTGAAATCTAATGATACAGTAGTTCAGTTCAATGAAGCGTGCCCTCCAGTGGTCAGACTGAATAACTGCAACGCTCTATACAACTCTTAATATATTAAAGCAGTTCACTGGTGTTATTCAATTGCTATTTATTTATTTGAAGTGTTGATTATTGATAAACATAAGTGGAACTCGCATAGCTCTTTACATGAATTGACATCTTGTGGAATCGTTTATTGAATATGAATGCAGATTTCATATTTATTTATATTTCATTGACATATTATGTATAATTTCTTATGCAAATAGATATGACAAAGACACAACAGATGTCCAGAGTAAAGAGGGAAATATTTGGAGGAAAAGAGGTAAATTGTCTCAAACCAAATAGCTCACAGTGTGTGACTGGTTGGAAGTTTTGAGGATGTGGGTTTGAGTCCATTGTCCAGAGAAAAGAAGGGAGGAGCTCAGATAAAATAGTGCAGAGTGATGAGAAGTTGTGAGGTAATGTGTTTGCTTCTCTTATGATGCTGAGTGGATTTAGTAGTCTGACAGCCAAAGTGAAGAATTCAAACTGCTCAGAGAGAAGGTTCCAGTGTGAAGGGGGCTGAGCACCTGGGCACCCTGGGGGTCATAATGTTCTGCAGCCCCATACCAACAAACTGCTCTGCACTGTGTGTTCTGACCCCTTTCTATCAGAACCAGCATTAACTGTTTCAGCAGTTTGAGCTACAGTAGCTCGTCTGTTGGATCGGACCGCACGGGCCAGCCTTCACTCCCCACGTGCATCAGTGAGCCTTGGCCGCCAATTACCACCACTTTTCCCTTCCTTGGAGCACTTTTGATAGGTACTGACCTCTGCAGACCGGGAACACCCCTCAAGAGCTGCAGGTTTGGAGATGCTCTGACCCAGTCGTCTAGTCATCACAATGTGGCCCTTGTCAATGCTCAAATCCGCACGCTGCCCATTTTTCCTGCTTCTAACACATCAACTTTGAGGACAAGATGTTCACTTGCTGCCTGATATATCCCACCCACTGACAGGAGCCATGATAACCAGATAATCAGTGGTATTCATATGTATGTATATATCGCTTCTCTCTTACTCTGTGCTGCTTGACACAGTATTGTTTAAACACAGAGCATATCGGATAACATATACTCAGAAACTGATACATAACAAAATGTCTGCTCCTGGCCAATATTGGCCAACTGATGTTGCTTCATATAAAAATGACAGGGTCTAAAGTAAAAACTCTTTCAGCATAACTAAATATGTTCTATGTGTTTCCTGTGATTCAGCGGCTGACATGTCCGAAAGAAGACCGTTTCCTCTGAGCTTTCTCCAATTATCCCACTCTAATGGCGGCAATCATCTCTCACACACACACACACACACAGCTGGAGCTCCAGTACTTGCTCACATTTTCTGCTGTACAGCTACAGATTGTCAGTAAATGGTAAATGGACCTGTACTTGTATTTCCGACCACTCAAAGCACTTTTACACTACGTGTCACATTCACCCGTTCACACACATTCACTCAGTGATGGCAAAGTCCATCAAACAGAAACTAACTCATTAACACATTCACACACTGATGCACAGCATCAGGAGCAATTCGGGGTTCAGTATCTTGCTCAAGGACACTTCGACATGTGGCGTGAACCAACAACCTTTCGATAAGTGGATGACCCGCTATGCCTCTGAGCCACAGCCGCCCAGACAGTAAGCAATGACAACAATGGCTGTTCTTCCTGGATGATGATGATGATGATGATGATGATGATGATGATGATGATGATGATGATCTTCAGGTGGATTTGTTGGGGCAGTGTTGGAGGTGTGGGTCAGAATGAGCTGTATGAAGCTGCACTGTTCACTGTGTTGTTGGTTGTTGAGTTCTAGTTGGATTGCTGAGAGACACACACACACACACACACACACACACACACACACACCCACCCCCACCCCCCCCCCCCCCCCCAACTCACACACACACACACACACACACACAGAGCTAGACAGGTATGTAGACAGGTATGTAGATGGATACAGGTCCAGGCAAAGCAACTAGGATGAACTGACAAGAACAAGGGAACACAGACTGAATACTCAGGAAGTGAAATTAAACAAGACACAAGAGGAGCGATACAACATGCTCTATGTTTTCATATATATGTGGTATTATTTATGACCTATTAAACATAATGGACAAATAATTAGACTACAGTTTACCATGCAGTCCCCTGCGGTGTTCATTTGCCTGTTACACTATGTATTGCTTATGTATTTCCTAGAATTGCATGCCCCCCTTGAGAGGAGTTGTACTGACATAATCCCAGTTACTGTAGGATTGTTTTAGTCTGCTGCTGTGAGAGCCCCACTTCACAATGGGGACTAATTATTTCATCTCATGTTAAATACGCTGCTGCTGCAAACCCTGGTCTGGTTGTGGTAATCCTTTGTGCAGCTCACCCTCAAGGACTGTGCATGAGTCACTGAAGGAAATAATAAACCCTGCACAGGGTTGGATAGGCTGGCTCACTCACTGAGTGAAAGCTGGGCTCACCAAGAATGACTGAACCATCAGCAAACACACAAAATACAACCACGTTTAGCTCACTGACAGCACAGGACATCATAAAATGATATTTTAAAATTGTAAAAAGTCTGATCTTACTTTTTTAAGTTTTAAGTTCTCCTACACTCCTGTTCTCATTCCCAGGTTGCCAAATCCAAATGCCAGCGGTATTCAGTTTGTTACAATCTGAAACTTTACCACTAGATGCCACTAAATCCTACACCCTGGTCCCTTAAAACAGTGGTTCTCAAACTTTCTGGTGTCAAGAACCCCCTGACTGATACACAGGATGTAGTCTCACTAACAGTGAAGAGTGTGAAACCTATGTCAGTCATTCTCTCATGGGGATAACTTCTAGTCAATTAATAATACTAATAACAATATATGAAATTAAAAGAGAGCTACTGACTTAATGTATGTGGAGTTCATTACAGAAAAACTGAAGGAGGCTAACCACAGCTGGGCTGTAATATTGGACTGTTTCAGACACATTGTGCACAGGTCTGGTAAGCAGTGGTTGGCATAAGAAAGCGTTCTCTGCTGCTGAACTTGGAATACTGCAAAGGACAATACACTTTGGGGCGGCTGTGGAGCAGAGGCCGAGCCGGTCGTCCCCTAATCGGAAGGTTGTTGGTTTGATCCCCGGCTCCTCCTACACACATGTCGAAGTATCCTTGAGCATGACACTGAACCCCAAATTGCTGTGAATGTGTATGGATGAGTTAGTTTCTGTTTGATGCTTTGCCATCACTGAGTGAATGTGTGTGAAAGGGTGAATGTAGCATGTAGTGTAAAAGCGCTTTTAGTGGTCGGAAAACTAGAAAGGTGCTATACAAGTACAGGTCCATTTACCATTTACTTTTGGAATTCTGAGAAAAAAGAGTTTTTCTGTATTTCCTCCGCTGCAGTTGGCAACAATTAATCAGGTGCAGCAGCTTATTGATATAATGTGTCTGTGCATTAAGATTAGGGTGAAGTGGATTAGACTGTATTACTGTATTAGTTCCAGTATGTGAAAGAACAAACTGAACACAATTTATCACATTTGAAAAACATTTATTTTTCATTACACCTAAAATAAGTTACAATCATTTAAATAAAAAATAAAAACAATATATATAAGAAACAGGTACAGTATGTGTATGGTTAAATGTTTCAGTCTCTGAATCCCAACAAAAACTCGATTTATTACTCGAGTATATTGTAGCTTTATTTCTGTTTGTACATGTTTGACATGGAGTGGAACTGTGTGTTACTGACTAATATACTGCTGTCAATAAAAAGCCCTTCACTTGAGCTAACTCTAATGCCGACATACTGATTATTGCTTATGTTTATCTTTGGCTGCAACACCCAATTATCAGCTTTCACTGCATCAGTCCAACCTTGTGTGTGCGCTAACTCCTCTGGATGGGGGTGGTTGTGATGGGGAAGACCACTCCCTGTCTTTGGAGATGTCTCAGAATGTCCAGGATGGAGTCCAGCTCCAGACGGAACGCCTCCAGCTCTCTGCTCTTGTCCTGAGCCAGACGCTTCCAGCGCTCCACCTCTGACTGCTCACCGGCGTCTGGCGTCTGCCACGACCCACCGATCACCTGCAGGGACGGGGAGTTACTGAGGTTAACCAGTGCCTCTGTTGATTGTTCAGGTGGAAGGAAGAAGGTGCAGCCACTGTCACAGTTCTCTACTGGCACGCACTGGCCTCTCTCTGGAGTATAGCTTTGATTCGCTGAATTAATCTTCAAAATCTTTTATTAGATTAAAACATTTTATGACATTTTATGAATCATGCTTGCTTTGGAGGAGGGTCCCTGGACCTACATTTCAGCTCCTCTGAGTAGATGGTAGTAAATCCAAATTGGGGTATTTTGGGTGGTCTGGGGTGCAGCAGCTGGTTGGACATTAGTAACACAGGATGGTAGCAGAGCAGCACAAGCAACCGTTGCATTGCTAGATTTTCTTTCCTCTTTATTTCATTTTCACCCCTACTTCCTCATCTTCTAATAGAGGAGACAACAAGCATGCTGATGGTAATTGATGGTATGGATCAGAGAGAAAGTCAGTGGTAGAGCTGTTCTGACAAATTCCTCCGATACTGTCTAAAATGCGGTATTAGATCTCCCCAAGTACCCACGTCTGGGCACTGGTCCGATACCACGTCATTTCATGACCTGCCCTAATCGGACTCTTACAAAGCCAACAAAGCAGACAATGATAGTGATCATACAGGCTAAATATACATGTATAGGCTTGTTAAATAAATAAAAAAACACAGTGTGTGTGTGTGTGTGTGTGTGTGTGTGTATGTATATATATATATATATATATATATTTATATTTATATATACACATACATAGATACATACATACACACACATTTTTGGGATGTATCGGATTTGAAGCATTATAACAATAGCTCAAGAATCTGCGCCCTACTATGCATTTAGAGATGTTTATGGTGGAGCGACATGTCTCCCTGCTGAGTCCCGTTGATGAATACAAACGAAAAGAAAAGCTAATTTTAAATCCTTAATTAAAAGTCAGGTTTTCTCTTTTCCATGGATCTGACACACTGTACCTCCACACTCCTGCTCACATGTGATATTATAAGATAATAATGTTAAACAGAACATGACGCTGGGATATTGACACACAGTGTGATTTGATGCTTTCGTATTAATCTATGCAGCTGTCAGTCTGCACCAGCTGCAACCTCAAGTGTTATTTACTTCAAGTCTATTTTTTAGACAACACAAGCATAAGGGAGAGGTTGCCAATAAAAAGGCACTGTTTATATGTTTAGCCACATTCTGCAACCTGTGAGTGTGCTGCTCTGGTCTGTAATCTCACAGCCTGGTGACGGCCCATTTTTCCCCATCATGCCTCGCCCTAGTACTGGCTGTGTAGTTAATGTTGTGAAATGCACATTTTTTATGTTCCACAATGCTAATGGTACTTTTTGTTAACTGTCATTTTTGTGCTGATGTACATTTTTACATATCTTGACCCATGCAAACAGTTACATCGAGTTATGACGTAATTCTTCAACTTCTGTCAGCTCCAGCAATCTCAAATAGAGATCTATCTATGGAACCAGCTTCCAGTTGTGGTTCGGGAGGCAGACACCCTCTCCACATTCAAGAGTAGGCTTAAGACATTCCTCTTTGATAAAGCTTATAGTTAGGGCTGGATCAGGTGAGTCCTGAACCATCCCTTAGTTATGCTGCTATAGGCCTAGACTATTGGGGGATTTCCCATGGTGCACTGAGCTCCTCTCTTCCTCTCTCTCTCTTTCTGCACTCATTCATGTTCCATTAATACATGTTACTAACTCCACTTCTTCCCCGGAGTTCTTGTGCTTTCTCGTCTCGCAGGTTCTTATCGATCCTGGTGGAGCCTCCTGCCATGGTCCTGCTAGATTGCCATTGCCAATACTGTTGTTGCTGTGCACCTGTCTGTCTGTCTGTCTGTCTGTCTGTCTGTCTCTCTCTCTCTCTCTCTGTCTCTCTCACCCCAACTGGTCGAGACAGACGACCACCCACCTAGAGCCGGAGGATCTGTCCTAGGTTTCTGCCTTTTAACAGGCAGTTTTTCCTTGCCCTTGTCTCCAAGGTCTTGCTCATGGTGGTACTGTTGGGTCTCTGTAATTAATGTTATAAAGAGTTCGGTCTAGACCTGCTCTATTTGAAAAGTGTCCTGAGATAACTTCCGTTATGAATTGGCGCTATACAAATAAAATTGAATTGAATTGAATTGAATAGCCACAACTGGATGATATGAAAGTAGAAATGTTCACCCAACACTAGAATACTCACCTACCAAGCAGTGCATAAAAACGGTGGCCCTTTTAAATGACATTTTTTTTGGGGAAAAAATTCCTACAGATTCAGGTTAGGGGTCCTTAAGTTCCTGTTGTGTAAAGATCATCTGTGTGACTCAAGAGAACAGCAGCTCTAAACTCACAGGGTTAAACAGTGAAAGGTGGCCTGGGGTCATTCAAACATAATCTTAAGCTTCACAGAAACAGTAAATGGTGGCCTCATGCGTACCTAGGGCGACTGTGGTGCAGAGGCAGAGCACTAATCAGAAGGTTGTTGGTTCGATCCCCGGTTCCTCTCGCCACATGTTGAGGTATACTTGGGCAAGATACTAAACCCCCGAATTGCTCCTGATGCCGTGCATTGTGAATGTGTATGAATGAGTTAGTTTGATGGACTTTGCCATCACTGAGTGAATGTGTGTGAAAGGGTGAATGTGGCACGTAGTGTAAAAGCACTTTGAGTGGCCGGAAGACTAGAAAGGCGCTATACAAGTACAGCTCCATTTACCTGCTGCAGCTCTTTCTCTCTGTGTTGGTGTCTGAGCTCCATGTTGAGGATCTTCCTCTCCAGGTTGCACACCAGTTTCACCTCTGGGCTCTGAGCTTCTTTAGCTTCCTTCAGCTCCTTCAGCAGTCTGGTCAGCTAAATACAAAGTGGAAGCGGTCACAACATGTTAAAATGATGACAAATACTCAACAAAATAGTGAACTTGGGTATCTTGGGTAAAATGAAATCTGATAATCCAGAACAGAAACAGAAAACAAGTAACATATTAAACTTTTTCAGACTGCTGAAATCTGGCAGAAAAGCTGGTGATGCTGCTGCTGAAAACATGCTGTTATTTGCCAGCAAGCTCCCCATTCATTGATATTTCTTTGGTTTTAATCTACTTCAATCTGAATATGCTGCATACAGTGTTCCCATCTGGTCTTTATATATTTTATTTTAGTAGAACATTCTTTTTGTGTTTCAAGACAAGCTGTATGACCTCAGTGAGTCTGATTATTGTGTCACTGTGACAATGTCAACGTAACCATTTGAAGGCCTTTGTGGTTTGGTGGGGGGAGGGTTTGATCACCACTGGTGCGGTTTTCATTTGCTTGTTATACAATTGATAATAAAAAAAAGAACAAAAACATATCCAGAAGAAAATGGGTACCTAGGAGTCTCCCTTTTACTCACATGCCCCCTTTTATTATTAATAATAATAATAATAATAATAAGCAGATGCAACTTTTTCCATGCAGTATGAATGTGTTATTTTGGCCTAGTGTATTTGAATATTTCGACATACAAGGGTCCATAAACAGTATTGGAACTGCATAAATTGGGTATGACTGGAAAGCTGACAACAATTGTATTCATGTGTAGTGATGTCAGTCCCCATAGCAGCAATTTCATTTTAGTGAGACCGCACTGTATAAATTGACCTATTGTGACCTCTAGGATAATCACAGCCTTGTGAAACTGTACAGCCACAAGCTAGAGGCCGAGGGCATTAAGATGATGGATAGCTTTCCAAGCAATATTGACATTAAAGAGGGTTTCTGAGAAATTTTCAGAACAGAAGTGCTCGCCATCCAAACGCTGAAAAATGCAATTCTTACAAAAATCCAGATGTCAATTTTTGATGGTGTTCCTCAACGTCTTTGTGTCATCATGTAGTGTTTGAGGGATTTTTGACCATTTTTGTATATTTTTTAGTGGCCAGAAGTTACATTTTGCACAAAATCTGTGTAAAAAATTGTATATAACACAATGTTTATTACAGATTTCTGATTATAAAACTGAGCTGCATCTCAAATTAATCTTCAGGTTTCCAGCTTTCAGATGATGTGTACCACTTCTACGTGACCTGCTTTCTTCCCCTAAAGCCCCACCCCCCTCCCTGCCCCACCTAAAAAACACATGAATTGGTTTATTGTAAGGAGGGGTGGAGTGGTAGAGGTTAACCCATACCTGCTTCTGCAGAGCATCCTCTCGGGTCCTGGATATTGCCAATGCATCTTTAGCTCCCTGCAGCTCTCTCAGCTGCTCTTGCAAGTGTTTCACCATTACCTGCAGGTAAACGTGAAGGTTAAAGCAACAGGAGCATTTCCAGGACTTCCTGTTGACATGAGAATGGTTGGCTAGTGATCCAGTACCTCCTGAGTGTTGAGCTTATTTGTCAGTTCAGCAACCTTTGAGGATGAGTGTTCCAGGGCATGGGTGGCCCGCAGCTGGTCTAACACCCTGAGGTGTTCTGCTCTGATAGATGACAGCTGCTCTGCAGACTGCTCCTGTAGCCTAACAGATCACATTGAGTTCATTGATCACATCCATGCTCTGCAGAAAATCTCAGTTAATGTGTCCACACTGATACCTGCGCAGCTCATCCTTGGCTTGAGCGGCATCAGCCTTTAACGCCTCCTTTCCCTGCTCAGTCTGCACCTCCAGCTGCTCCAGCTGCTGCTTCAGAGCCTCGTTCTCCTGCAGTACCTCTGAGATATGACTGCCTGCCGAAAAGATGCAACAACAAAATGGAGAATTCAAATACTCAGCTATAGCATAGTGGTGCAAGAAAATATCAATATGTGTATAATATATATGTACACAAGGGTTAGATTTTCCGATAAAATGCAAAGGATGTGACACTTATGTGTGCTCCTGAGTACCTTGTGTCTCCACTTTCCTAGAGGAAACACCCACCAAAACAGAGCCAAAAAAACCGTGATAAATACTATAATACTAACTTATGTATTCTGACAAACAGTGTTGATTTTAGCCCACAATAAATGAAGCTAGCGATTGCTTTGTACTAGCCAAGAGTGATGGGAGGCAGGGGCATGTAACTAGCTAACTGCAGCCTAAGCTAAGCTGGGGTTGTCCGACTGGCTGTGTCTTGGCTGCACAGCGTGGGTCTGGTGTTGGTTGCTTCGTGGTGTTGTCTGGTTAGTAGCATGGAGTCAATGGTCCAAATAAAATATAGGAATATTGCAGATAGTAACGTTATTAAGTATGATTGTCATTTATTTTCCAGCATTTAGTCTATTGTATGTCACTGCTGGCCGATGCTCAGGATTCAATTCAAGTCAATTCAATTTTATTTGTATAGTGCCAATTCAAGTTATCTCAGGACACTTTACAAAATAGAGCAGGTCTAGACTGTACTCCTCATGAAGGATGATGCTCGCTCGTGACTACAGACTGTCTACGTAGTGCGAGCGATTCACTTAACGGCCACTGGTGTCACTATTGACAACGGTTTAATGAAAGTTACATTTTAAATAATGGACTGTTTAAAATGGTTAAAGCACTTTTGGATATCAGGTTATATACATAATATTCTAGCATTCATCTAAGCATGTAAAGGAAAGACAACCAAACAGACAATCAAAAAGCTCATACCTGTGAAGACATTGGGCTGGTAGGTCTTCTCATAATGAGCAGCTGGAAACGTGTCCTCCGCACCACATGTTTCTCCTGCGGTAGCAGAACTGGGTGTTTTGGCTTGGCCCGGCTGTCGTTTGGTCTCTGTAGAACGAGTTTCTGGTCGCAGGTTGGGGACGGACAGCATGTTCCTTGACTCCTTCTGCAGTCTCTCCAGTGTGCGACTCAGCTCCTGAATGGTTCGTGTCTTGGCGCTGAGCTCTTGGTTCAGCCGCTCTATCCGTGCGCCAAATGCTGCCTCAGCTTGACGCTGGTGTCGGCCTGGACTTGGATGGGCCTGTATGGAGGAGGGTTTAGTTCAGTATAGTATGTTCAAGAAAGTAATCTTTTGAAGATAAGGAAGGTGGCCTGTGTGGCTCCTGTAGCGACCTTCTGTTTGAGCTGCTGCTGGAGAGACTCAATCTGGTCCTGGAGGGATTTGTCTTTCTCCTGGTGGCTTTCCTTCACACGTTGCAGTTCTTCCTCCAGCAATCGAACCTGTGACAGCCACGGCTCAGCCCCAGCTGCTGAATTTGCAGCTTCCAGCTGCGGTTTCTGTTCCAGCTGCTGTTCCAGCTCTGAGATCTGCTGCTCGTAGCGGAGCTAAATGGTGAAGTTTAGATTTAGAGACATGCAAAAGAAGAAATGCTTAAGAATTGTTTTGCATTAAGATTTTGATGCAGTTAATCAGCAGTGTGTTTGTTCTTTATGTAAATAAATCTGATAACAATACATTTTGTGATTTTCTTTTACACTTTCATGCTGTTATACTGTTTGGCCCTTTTTTTAAACACACTGCTTTTACCAAAATATAATTGGTCTTGATGAATGACTGAGTAAGGTTCTGAGGTAAGAATTATAATTCAGAATAAATAGAACTATTTGCATTTGATTTGCACATTTAAAGGTTCAGTGTGTACAATTTACGAAGATCTATTGTCAGAAATGGAACCTGAAAAAAGTCACAATTTGCAACTACACTGCTAGATGAAACCAAATAGGATGCTACACCACCAAGTTTTCCTCTTTGTTTTGCATTCTTCAGGTGAGAAAACAACAACAATAAAGCTGGCATGGATTTTGTTTGCAGTCATTTTCCATGCAACTTATTCACTGATTGTATTTGACGCACATCGTTACATGGTAATGGTAAATGGACCTGTACTTGTATAGCGCCTTTCTAGTCTTCCGACCACTCAAAGCCCTTTTACACTACATGCCACATTCACCCTTTCACACACATTCACTCAGTGATGGCAAAGTCCATCGAACAGAAACTAACTCATTCATACACATTCACACACCGATGTAATGTATACTGGGTGCCTAGCTGAAGCTAATTCGCAGCCCCTTCATTATCTGCACTTTACACTGATATATATGACTGACATTATGACCACCCGGGCACCGAACATAGTCATCTTTAAGTTGAGATGGTGAACTTGTAAGGAAACCGTAAACATCTGGCTCTTTAGCTGTTAAAAGCTCCACTCTGTTCTCCAGCCAGTCTCTGTGTGTGTCTGGCTGTGAGTACATTATTGACAATTTGTTGTACCTTGATCCTGTGGAACTGTTGTTCCATGGCCCGCAGGCTGCGCTTGGCCTCCTCATCGTGACTCTCCAGCTCAGCCTCCAGGCGCTGAATCCTGCGCTCAAGCAAGGCGCTGATCCTGCTGGGTGGTGACGTCTTGGCAGCATCCACATCCTCTCGACCACCAGCCGTGGCTGCAGCGTAAATCAGAGCGGGCAGGGAGTTTGGGTTTCTTCGTCTTAGAATCTGCTCCAGCTCCTTCACCTGGTAAAGAGAGAAAGTGAATGGACATGAACTGGACGGGGAAGGGAGGGAGGGAGTGTAATGAGTTTCATAAGTTAGCTTATTTGTCTGTTTGAGCAACCTGTCGCTCCAGATCCTGCATCCTCTTAGTGTCTGCTGTTTTCTCTTTGGTCCTTCTCTGCTGCTCACTGCTTCTTTTGCCCACATCCATGTTCAGTTTTTCTACCTGAGAAGGAGACAACCTGTTATTTCAAAAACATTAATTGTAATTTAGGGATGTCCGATAATATCGGCCCTCCGACCCCAACAACAACTACATGCTAGACTGGTTGGTTGCTAACCGTGGCTAACAAGCAAACAATTTAAAGCTGAATGATTTTAATATTTACACAAAAGATATATATATATATATATATATATATACACACACACACACACACATACATATACATACACATACATACATATAGACCCTTCTTCTTATATATCCAGGAGGGTCTATAACATTAGGCTTGAGGCTTAGAATTGAGGCTGTGCATTCTGTTTTGGCAGATCTAGCTACACCTGTATCTTCTAATGGGAACTATGTACTATGGACGTTTTAAAATACCTCAATAAAAACAAATCAAAGAAATAATGTGAAACATTGTTATATATATTTAGAATAATAATGTTCCTGCAATAAACTACAGGTACACTACTACTTTAGGAATATTTGTAATTGAAAAATTTCAAAACAGCTGTCAATCAGTGCATCACAAATTAAGTAAATAAAGAAACAATAGCAGAACTCATGTTTACATGTCCAACACTGTAGTTGAACAGTTGACTGTTGTCATTCTGGCACTGATGACGCGTCTAGACCAGCATAATGTTGGGAGGCAAATTTGACTAAGGTGACTTATGTAACATTTAGGAGCCTGTAGGACAAACTATGGAGGCAGCGAAACTAGTAGGGCTGCACAATATGGTAATAGGGATTATTTTGACAGATATTGCTATTGCGATAGGATTAATGGTTAGTGTGGGAACAATCATTTTTGCATCACAAATTGAATTTTTACTGTAAAAATTATTAAAGTCAAAATTAAATGTCAAATATTTAAGGGTCTGTATCAAACATCTTAAATCTGGAGAACAAGATTTGTAGACCAGGGCATCTCTTTAGGACTACAGTAACAAATGATTATGCTGTTTTGTCACACATTTTACCTTAAAACTGCTGCTTCTGCAATTTGCATACAACTCTGATAATATTTTGATTAATTGTGCAGCCCTAAAAAATACCAAAAAACCTTAAAGGCCCTATCTAGGCCAGTGTTGGGACTCCATAGAAGAGGACCCACTCCCTCTGTAGATAGAAGCAGCTCATTCTAAGGTAACAAAACCACAATGATTCTTATTTTCAGGTGATTATACACTAATGAAAACATATGCCATAAAACCTATGAATATTATATTGCATTTCTGCCAATAGATCCTCCTCAATGTTACACACTGGACCTTTAAGAAGTTTTTCATAAAATGTATTCAGCTAGGCAAGGAAATCTAATTTAAAAAAGTAGGGCTGATCATTATATGACCAAAGGCAGTGGTCTTTTGTACCACAACTGCTATGAATTGATACTGCAAGGACATAAGACAGGGGGGGACCTTGTAGAGATTACTATATTGACAGTGAACGTCAATGCAGAGCCTTACTTGCTCTTTGAGTCGGTGTATTTCAGCTGTAGCAGCCTTCAGTCTGCCAGCGTCTCTATCCAGCAGCTCCTGGTTCTCAGCAAACCACTGCAGCTTCTTCTTCAGGGCTGCAACTTCCTCTCTGTGCTTGTCCTCCAATACGCGCATCTCAAAAGTCTTGTCACCTGACACATTCAGAATGGATACACACCGTCAGTCGGACCAAAGATCACTTATGCATATAAAGGTCTTTAAATTCCACCATTAGCACTGCTCAGTATGCAGTTTTACCTGAGGCAGACATGGCCTGAGCCCTAGCTAGGTCTCTTTCTTTCTTCATTAGCTGCAGGTCTACCTCCAGAGCTTGCTTTTCTTGCTTCAGTCTGTGAATGTCCTCAGACAGCTTGGCCTCATTCCACTGCATACAGAAACATACAGTATCTCTGTGGTAAGTGAGCAGCTGAAACACAACTTAAAGGTATATGTTTTATGTCTTTCCACTTTGAATAAACAATGTCACAATCATATGCACAGTAAAATTACCATTTTTGTCTATGGAGTCTGGTGGAGAGTGATAATGATATTACGTCTGTTTCTGGTTAAACTAACATCTCTGTAGGGGGTCCTTTCCATAATGTTGTCAGACACGAATAACAATCTGAGCCTGTCAATGGCAAATACAAGCACTTAGCAGTAACCATTGCAGCCTCATTTAGGACTATTTTCTCCATCTAACTTGTTGAATTAAGAGTTTACTTGAACCAAACCAGTGTTGGAGATTGTTGGGCAAGTTTTATATGGTTTCTGTCCAGTTTGATTGATTGATTATCTGCTGGGTAAAATGATTGGTTTTGTCAATGGAGAGGTTGGCCGTAGTGCCCATTGTTTTGGAGATGCTGGTGCCCTAGTTCAACATCTATTAGCTAGTGAATTTTGTATATATAACATTTAAATCTATCAGTATTTCAGTGATTGTGGTACTTACCTGAAATGAATTTATTTGAGCTAACAGGTCTGTAATGCGTTGAGTGTGATCCATTAGGCAGACATTTCCCACAGGCCTAGAGGTTTTATTAATCTGCTCCCTGATGAAAAATGTCAGAGGATACAAACAGAAAAAACACTGGTGATAAAGTCTCATATTAAGAAGACATAAACAAGCAATAATGCATTTGCAAATAGGTCACAGCTCTGATAGACACACCTTTACTGAACCCACCTTGTGAAAGCCAGCTCATTCAGCAACCTCTGGTTTTCATTAAACATGGCCTCCTCGTTGGATTTACTCTTGGCCTGCTGAGCCTTCATCTGCAAATACAGCTTCTCATTCTCCTGTAAAATAATATCAGCTCACAATATTACAATAGTAGAAATATTAAAAAAGCTCATGCAGCAATGAGGACATGCAGGGTTCCCAGTTTTATTCTTGACAATACAGTACTGTAGTAATACAGGACAGCCCATAAGTATCAGTTCAAGTTAAGTAGAATTCATTTTATTTTACATAAAATTCATATTCCCACGGCTTAGCCTATTCAAAGAAAAAGTAGGAAGTGTTTGTTGCAACAATGAACATTGCTGTTGATGTATTAATCAACTATAACAGGACATTTTTCATTTGGCTTTGGAAACATTTGAAAAGACTGCTGCAAGTTTGGAAAAATAGTTTAAATTTTTTTTAGGTTTTCCATGTATTCCTGGACGTGTGGGAACCCTGACATGATCTCCCGTCAATCTCCCATTGGAAACTGAGTTTGGCAGTGTTACCATCCAAACCAGAAGTTGCTGGGAGCACAACCTGAATAACAGCTGTGGTGAAAAGTAAGTCCATTTCTCCAAAGCCTACATTTCTGACACAAAAGAGAATTACAGCAGATATCCAAAAACAAATTAAGAGCAGAAATGAACAGTGAAGACAGTCACATTAAGAGATAAGTATTAGGAGAAACAAACCTGCTGATAGCCTTTTATGAGCATCTCTTGCTCTTTTATTTCTTTGTCTATGTTTTGGAGCTTTTCCTCTGTAGTGGAGTTGGTAGCCTCAGCCCATCTATGTTTCTGACCGGCTTCTTCTGCACTTCTCAGCTGAGGAGTGAAGAAAACACAGATTAGTTACTACGTACAGATGGATCACTGCTGACCTTTATTTTCTAAGTCTGAGTCCTTCAATATTGAGAATCCAAAGCAACATATTTTACATATGCATATATTTTACAGGCAGGGTTCCCACTCTTTTTAAGAAATCATTTTCCAGGTCTTTTCCAGGACATTTCCAGGAGTTTTTCTTGACTATACGGGACAGCAGTTGCTCCCAAAGGTGTCAGTGTTTATGGGAAACACTCCACATTAGCTCACATTTGTGGCAATTTTTTTGCTGCGGCCTCAGCAGATCGGAGCTGCACTCCCATGCAATTGTATTATTGTATTATCCTATTAAAAAAGGAGGTGGACATTATAAACATTAACATTAACAATTTTCAACCACAACAACAAATGCAAATTTGATTATCAATAGACTGTAAATGGATGTGACCATCTACAGCATTTCCAAAATAGATTTGGTGCCAAAAGTTTGCAACGCTTGGGGGGACATGGGAGCAGAAATGAAAAAAGGAGCATGCAGGTATGTAATCAAATCAAGTTTATTTAAATATATTAAAGTAGTCTCTAAATTAGTTAATGTTATTAACTGTTACTTTATCTTACCCACTGTTGTGCTTTTAACTGTTGACAAATATATAATGTTTGAAAATGTACCAACTCAGCCGTCCAAAAATAATGTGTAGTAGTGCAACCAAAGTCTACAGCCAACCGCACCGGTCTCAATCAAACACAGAATGTGAATGTCGGCAGTTGATCTGATCCAGAATGCATGGAATGAATGTTTTGTTTCTCCTGTGTACCTTGCTCTGTAGTACATAGTTCTGTTGTCTGAGTGAGCTGAGCTCTTCTGCTCCTTGCTTCATCACCTGCAGCTCCCTCTCTTTCTGAGCCAGCTGGACTCTGAGCTCCTCCACCAGAGAGCTGCCCTCCTCCTTCTGCAAGTCAGACATCGACACTGAACTCAACCCAACAGAACAGAGACTGTAAAGGACAAACTGTCATAGAAGAAAAGTCACTGTTAACATGCACATCACATTCCATCCACTCAGACACAGCATTCATTAGCATAGCAACACTGACATGATCCCTCACTGGTATCCCATCTGAAAACAGTGACAACTGATGCTTCCTAAAATGCTTTGCCTAAAATTCAGATAATTGGATTTCTAAGACCCCACGCTGCAAATGCATACTGAAGACCTTTTTTTTTTTCCAGAGGGTTCTCATTTTAAAGTCAGTTGTTAGTTAAGTTGTTTTCTTACACTGTCCTTTGGAAGATGTGTCTGTCTGGTTTCCTGAGGACCTCTGACTTCCTGTGTGTCTGCAGCGTCCTGGTGACTGCTGGTGTCTATCTGCTGCTGGAGGACAGCCACTAAGGACTGAACAGATGCCACCAGCTCACTGCTCACCTTCAGACCTACCTCTGCTAATCAGACAAACATAAAAGACACATCAAACACACAGCTACTAACATTACACATTGATTCCACAGCTCTGCGCCATGCTCCCATATTATGAAGATACCACCAGATTCAGCATTTATGTAACGGCACAATTTACAGACCCTTATCTTAAATTATCCGAACAGTTTAATGATTTGATATTTTGTGTACGAGTGTCAATAACAACCTGTGTAGTCATCTTTTTCTTGGCTCTTTGTTAATTTGGCTCTTTCTTGTGGATACTGACGTGGAACAGAGGACTGGGTTTTGGCTGTAGAAACAGCAGCTCTACTCAGCCCCGAAGATCTGGAAGTCACTGCTGTTCTCCCCTCCGCTCTCCTGTCTCTCACAGGAGCCACAGTGGGTTTCCTCACTGAAACTGTGGAGGGATGAGAAACAGCGGAGCCATGGGAGGCCTAGGGGTAAAATGTCCACAATTCATCATGATTAAACAATAGTGTAGTGAAAAACAAGGAAAATGCTCCTGACGGTGAGTGTGGTAGAGGTGATTTAGCTGTTTTTGTATAATATTAGGTTTGTATCTTGTGATTTTGATAATAAGGACAACTTTGCGCTGTTTATGCACTGCACAATTCAAATAAACAAATTACTTTTTAATATAATCTTGTCTGTAAACTTTTTCTAAATAATGTCGCATTAACAGGGATTCAGAAAGAAAGTAAACCTCTGGAGAGCACGGGGAAACCAAACACGCAGGGTGATATGTTGCTATAGTCATATTGTTTATAAAGAATGGAATAAAACATTAAATAAAATTAATTTCTGTATATTATTTTATGTAATTTATTAATTATTAGCAACTTGTTGTCCAGACTGTCCATGTGTTCCCTTTGTCTGGTGGAGTTTACCGCCATGCTCTCCTCCACTAAGATGACATCTGGTTTTGTTGACCTGGTACATTTTTTCATAGTTTTTGTGCTCCAGCGGGCACATCAATGCTGCAATGCAGCCATGAATGGTGGAATAAAGCACTAAGCTGTTCTATCTACACTATCCTGACAGTGAATCTAGGTGAGGAGAAAAACAGCACACTTTGTTTCAGTGACAACAGATGACTAGCTTTATTACCACATAAATGTTAAATTGTGAATTTTCTTTCTGGGAGAACTGATGCTTTAACTGGTTTTAAGAAGAGTTTAGAGTTTGCCTCACCGGTACTCTCTTAGCTTTGCCAGCCTGTGAGGATGTGTACTTGTTCTGATCCTGCATCAGCCTCTCTACTTCCTGTCTGATGCTCCATGTCAGGTTATGGCTGGGAGGGTCCGGGGAGCCCAGTTCCCTTGCTCCCTTTATGCCTGAAACGGGGTCAGCCTCCCCAGGTCGCTTCAGTTGTGACTGTGGAGAAGTGACATCTGGGAAAGTCCTTTCCAAGAAGTGGGATCTCTTTTCTTGGTCAAGTTCTACAGCACTGTAATCAGAAAACGAAGAGAAAAACACACTAAAACGTATATAGTTGTTACTGTTGTCATCCAGGTTTAGATTTTGAGGGTTTTATGAATTTCCCAGTAGACTTTAATGTCTTGTTTATTCTTTTACCATTTATACTTTTAATATTTTATTACCTGCAGCTTTGCATGATAAAATTTACTTTATTTTGTTTGGTGTTAACTATCTGTTAAAAAAAAAAAAACAACAACAAAAAGTTAACAACTCCAATTGGATGACACTGTAAATAAAAGTTGAAATAATGAACGAAATGCTGAGGCTAATCTCAATGCCAGATCTCTGTGGTAACATCCATAATGTGTACAACTGTGTTAAATCCATGTGACAGTCAGATCAACCAGTGGACAAACATAATTAACTGACAGTCTGTTGATGTTCTGTGATGTGATCATTGTGGATAATTCCAGACTTCACAGTCTTAACCTGACAGGCTGGAGGGTGAAGCCTCTGATGTGGTCCTTCTCTGGCCGGATGGGTCTCATCAACTCTTCAGCAGTGGGTAGCTCTAAATGTACACACAAATAAATCAGCATGGCATCACTGTAATCATCACAGCACAGTGAATGTGTCAAACTATCTATCTATATATATACATATATGTATATGTAGGTTGTATGTGTATAATGTGGTGAATTCTGAAGCTTTTCTGTGTCTTAAAATAGATGCTGCTAGTTGCTAACAAGTGTCTAAATGAGACTACAAAGGGCTGGTGACATTAAAACACAGAGACTGATCTACTCAGTAGACCGCCTTTACAGCCTCATTGTGTTTATACTCACACTTTGTAAACTATTCGAACTCAAACTGTACAACTCGTAGATTTTAATTACAAGATTTAATTATAACCTTAGTGGTGGTGATGCTGAAGTCATGTGACCGTGGTGTAGTTTGTTTATAGCCAACGTTAGCGATGGCATTTATGCTTCAATAATCATAAAAGTGGAGTTCATTTGTAAAGATTATCTTGCTGAACAAAATGTGTAAGTATAATAAACTTTGTTTGTCCTTGACATATTCAGAATCCAGACTTCCAAAGAGTAAAACACTTAACTGGAATGCATCATTCTTACAGTTCAACCAACCAGTGATTTATACAGACAGCAAGAGTCCAACATTCCCAAAAATACTGTTTACAGTTTCTGACCTGACTCATTGGTGGAAGCAGGTTGGAGAGACTGTCTGGTGTGTGGAGGGGACGATGGAGACACAGGTCTGTGGATCCTCCCCCTTCCTTCCAGAGATGAATAACGGTGATTATGGTCGTCTGAATCTTCCACAATGTGGATCTGTCTGTAGGCCTCATGAAGAGCTTCCATCTCTGAGCCTCCACTCTGCACATACGACTGCCCTGTTGAGAAAACAAGTTTAGTTTGGCAAGATGAAACTGAAATGATCTTGTGGGGAAACTGCAGTGAGTCATGAAGTCCCCTTTGGATTTTTCTGATAAGAAACAACTGGTAGCTCAAAGATTTATTGTGAGGAAACACATATTGTAACAGTTTTCAGTTAGCAGGAAGAAACAGTAAGAGAGTGCAAGAGATCTGAACACTAAGTATAAGTTACATTTATACACAGCTAATTTGTAACAGCAAATACATTTTAGGGGAAACAAAATGCAACCTAGGTTGTTTTTAACAATAAAATAAGGAAACAAATGTTCATACTGAATTTATCTGGCTTGTTCACTGACATATTCTATTAGTTTTTCTTGTGGGAACTACAGTATAACATGATTCACTTCTTTATGGTAACTTTTAAGTATTTCAAAGCTCAACCTCACGGTCTACATATCTGATCAACTTAAATCAAATGTGTAAAATATAAATAAACGTATACAGACAGTTCTCTACTAAGTACACCCATCTTTTATCCTTCGCCAACTGGAAATTTAACAAGACTTTATCATGTCCCACATTTCATTATTGCCCGCCTATCTTACTCTCATAAAACACAAAAAAAACAAAGAACAAAAAAACAAAAACAAATCTCAAAGCAGATTTAAAAGTCCAACTTCTTTTTTTACATTTTCAAAAAATAGCATATTTATTATTTCCAGTGTAGTTGTGGAGGAGAGGATGTGGATTTCTTAAATACAACTGATGAAAAGAATAATCAAGCTCAGTGGATACATCACTTTATCTTCGAATATATCTTGAAGTATATAACATCTCCGATAACCAATGATGTGTATCAAACCAAAATCTTCAAACCATTAGTATCATTTTAGGAGACATTGTTGTTTCATGTATCTATGCAGAATGCTGCATACAGTCCGGGTGCTACATTTTCCCCAAAAAGATGGGATGGCCATAACATATTTGATAAATTGTTGAGTCAGATTTGGTGTTTTGGGAACTTCTGCTGTGTGCTGGCTTTGGGAGTGCTGAGCCAATCTAATAATATATGGTATATATATATATATATATATATATATATATATATATATATGTAATTATTATTATTATTTTTTTTGGACAACAGTATGACACCCATTACCTTATTGCTATGACAACTTTGTAGTCCTTAGTGTATCTCCACTCTAAAAATATCTTCCATTTATAGTGTAACTGCAAAGGTATTCTCTGTTCTTGACAAGTTCACCGCCTTCCAGACTACCTGGAAGACTTTCCTCTAAGACACATGAACTGACTGTCATACCACCATGTTTTAAACATTATATGAAATTCACTTGTCAGTACATGTCGCACTAGAGAACCAGCATCTCAGACCAAAACAACTGGGTGCTACAGCTGGCCAGACTCCATAGACAAAACCAGTCATTTTACCTAGCACATAAACGTAACACACTTCAAACTGGACATAAACAAAATAAAACTCACCAAAACCATCTTTGTTAGTCTTTCAACAGCCCTTATAACTATCACCAACACTGGTTTGGTTAGAAGAGAAAACAGTCTGCAATCGCTGCCATGTAACGTTAGCTAATCCTTAGGGACAAACAGCCATAACTCACCACCAGACTCCATTGACAAAAAAATTTCATTTTAACACTATTATTTACTTGACCCGATGCATTTGTGTTACCTCTGTCCAGAGATCCTGCTGTGTCCTTCTTTCTGTCTTCTCCACTGGGGTCATCCAAGGAATCATAGAGAGAAACTGAGATAAAAGTATATACACGTAGTTAGCTAGAAGTCCTTGTGAACTAGCAGTAAAGACCTGTTTGATCCAAAACTAATGAGACATTTGAATGAGCTTTGAACAGATACACACTGTTGATGGTGAGGTCATTATTGGTATTATTAAAATGGCTTCCTCTGTAGTGCTTTATTATGTAATGGTTTGTCTTTGACTGAAAGATTTTATTCCTCCCAATACTCACCCATGACCTCAGTAAAATATCATCTCTTTCTCTCTTACCTTTGGCAAGAATTGGAGACATTTTAGACTTCTGAAAGACAGACAACAGCATGAATTATTGAATCATGTAGTAAGATGTCAGTTTGTCAGATTTCAGTATAAACAGAGAAAAAGCTTAGAGCATGAAGCCTCAGTAACATGATTACAAATTTTAGTGACTGGTCTCAGTGCAAATTTGAGCTGGAAGCAAAGCAAACTGACCTCTCCAGTTCAGGAGGCAGAACAGCAGCTCTATTGGTAGAATTCTCTGAGGATTGGCAACTAACCACTAGCAGTGATACAGTGTTTCCTACACATATTTCACTGTAACCACAGTGGCTTTGCACAGGATCCTGTTAATCTGCCTCAAGTACACAGACAGCGTTTTTCATGGGGTTTGGCTCTCAGTCCGTAGTGTGAAGCACACTGATGATACTCAGTCAGTGTTAACCACTAGCAAAGTTTTTTTATTTCTGGTCATTAAGGGCATTAAGAGTCCATCGCTGGCTTGTTTTTTGGGCTGATTTTTATTTTGCTAATTTAACTGTCTGCCTCTGAAGAATGAGACCTGCTGCTAGGCGATGCAGTAGACACACTAAGTCATAGAAAAAGTGAGAGGAAAAATAGCTGTGGAGCCAGAATGCTATCACACTTTACTCTGGAATACAGTAACAAGGTGATTCACAGGGGCTCCGACCAGGACTCTGACTCCGGGGATGAAAAAAACACAGCAGGGAGAAGGTGGAGAGGAGCGACAGAAAGGTATGGGATCAGAGAGACAGCGACAGTGTGTAGATCTGGAATATTTTCACATCTAACTGAGACAATTAGTTAGACATCACAGTTGGTGATTGTTGGAACAGGAACAGCAACACTTTTGGTGAGTTTTTCTGTCCAGTTTGTGTGTTTTAAGATGAGTTAAGACAATTCAGTTTAATTCTGTAAAATAAAGAAACTTAAATTGAGATGGTTGTATTTTTCTGTTTAATGACACAAATAGGTGTTTGGTGTGATGGTTCCATGTTGTAAAATTAGCATATATCGCCATAACCATAGCTCTAACATATATTTTATGGCTGTGGTATTCCTGTTCTGCCTTTACAGTGTCGTGTTTGAGTTATTCCTCAGCAACTTCAACCACATGGATTTGTTTTTTGATTGGATTTGTTTGGCTTTGATGTTGTCATCATTGTGGTGTATATGCCAGGATATATCCCTCATCACCCATTCTCTTTATACTATCTTCTAGCTTCCTCTGCAATACAGTTAACTAGGTGGAAAACATATTCTTCAGTTGATACCTCGATCCTCCTTTTGTAGCTAGCTCACTAGGACTGACAGATTACCAGTATATATATTTTTATTTTGAATGCACCAGATAATACATTATGCACACAGAGAGTTAGTAAGTGGATCTTAAGTTAAAATGATTTAATCACTTATCAAAGAACACTTTCTGAGTTTAATAATCATAGATTCCAACTACAAACCTCCTCCAGTGGCTCTTTTCCATTCTCCTCTTCCTCAAAATCCTCACTGTAGTGTGGAGAGCCTGTAGAAACTGAGAGACAAAAGACCTGGTTGAGACACACAGAGACAGAGAAAGAGAAGGTTTGCCGAGGGTTCATTACTCTTACCTGGAGACTCTCTGACGGTCTCTGTCACCCTGGCCTTCCTTTGATCATCATCACTCTGCTCCACTGCTTCCTCAGCTTTCCTGCAGGGAGGATATCCATCCTTATGCATCACAGTCACAACTGTGATCCTCAAGGGCAGAGTCAGCAGCAAAGCCTGACCCTGGTCACCATTGGACTTCTAACAGAATAACTTTACTACAACAAGGTTAGACTGAAAAGTAGACTTGCTGTGGCTTTCCAAAGAGAGGCGAAATGGCAGCCAATGAGGAGCCTGCTGGTTATATACTATGGTTTCATTTCATTTCTCTGATATTTACTGCCTGGTCATATTCTGGTCAACAAATCAAATGACACCTAAATATCTGCTTTATTTGAGCTAACTGGGAGTCGTGTTACTGCTCATGAAAACATTTCCTGATTTTAACTAACAAAACAACTGGGGACTTTCATTCAGAAGAGTTTATAGGGAATTAAATGTGTTTATCACTGAGCTTAGTTAGCGGCTATTCTTCCATAAATACAAGTCTACATACTGCAGATAGGAAGGTGGCCGTGTTCAATTACGCTTTAGAACATAACGCTGGTCCCTCTCTTCTCACTGGGTTGATGCACCGAGTCAAACCAAGTCAAATCAAGTCAGTATACGTGTATGGGAAAGGGCTATTAGTGTTCTGTGGGTGTAATATTAGAGTTTGACAGTTTACATACCTGAGGTTAGTACCGAGGGTGGAACTTGTTGAGTCCAGCTCCCTGTTCAGCTTGGAGTAATCTATAGTTGATAAAGCCCCTGCCTCTAATTGGGCAAAGAACCTGGCTTTCTCCTCTGCTTCCTCCAGAGTGTCCAAGCCAATATGTGTCGTATTCGCAGCTGGTACCGTCACTGACTCTGCATACACACGTAAAGAGAGCATATGTGGAAAGCACAAATTTGATACTTCAAAACGATAAAAAAGCAAAAAATCGGCGTGATAAAGTATTGCTCAGAACAGAAGGACTGAAACACTAACGGCTGCTTCAAGTGACTTGCTATTTGAATACCTGACAACATTAAAAAGCTCCTTTGCAATAGCTGAACACATTTGAACTGGAAAACTGGAGCTTAGTGTTTTCTTGGAAACCGTGGGAAACACCTAGACAACTTAGATGTCCCATTTTGTCAGACAACACAAGCCACAAACTAGTTCATACAAAGCAAGCGCAAGCTTTCACATCAGCAAGTTGCAGTCGAGCTGAACCGAGGCATATTTCTATTAACTGTGAGTAAAATACAAAATATCTACTCCTTATCATTCCAGAACTTGCCTGAGAATTATCACATTTTTAAGTTTTCTTCAGTATCCAGGTAATCCAGTGTTAGTTGTCTGTACATCCATGAGTATATTGCAAATAGGAACTGCTCATAGCTAATTTGGCATACTTTTAATGGAGCCAATTTGCCAAAATGTCAACAAATATAAGCTTTAAAAAATGGGTTTAAGTAGTAGCTCACAGCTAATTAACTGACTTCATGGCAACATGTTTACATCCCCCCCAAAGCCCCCAAATTATGGGATAAGTAATTCCAAAACTTGAAGCATTCCTCTAAACAGAAGTAAGACTACTGGCCCTTGGTCAACAGTGTCAAACTTTGGAAACCCCTCCTATAGACAACCAGTGTTGAATTAATTGCACTATAGTGTAAGTGTAGAAGTGTAATCCAACAAACTGCTAGTCAATAGTGCTTTTAATGAAAGTATCTTGGCCCCATGTGTCAGTCATACCCTGTCCAAGACTCACCCTCTATCTCAGTACTGTCTCTGAAAGCAGCTGCCTCCAGCCCTTCTCCCCTCAAACCAGTGTCCCCTGGATCCTCCTCCTCCTCCCGAATAGACTGAGATTTCCTCAAAGACTTCCTGAAAGTCTTCCCAGGTCCCAGCAGTCCTGGAATTTTTTTTAGAGAAAGAGACATTATTCAGTCATTAGTTGAATCATCTTACGTTATGATTAACAACTGTAAAAAGATTATCTATTGATTATATTTACAGGATTTATGTTAGTGTGTTCATTCTTCTTAAACTGACATTCAACATCAAGGACTGACACTAATAATACAGTACAGGTTGTACATGAGGACAAATCTGATATATAACAACAAACTGTGGACACAAACACACCTCACACAATCACAACTAAATATTCACAACTCTATTGTTTCTAAAAGATATACACACGTGTGTGTGTGTGTGTGTGTGTGTGTGTGTGTGTGTGTGTGTGTGTGTTTCTATTGTATATAGAATTGGTAACTGGTCAGCTGAAGGTGGGTACTGATTGTGGTTACCGGATGATGGGACCTGGATGAATGTATCTATATAACTAAAACTGTGTGTAAATACTGAGGACATTTTCTCAGAATATGTATCTGCACCCACTTCTACATTCTGTCCATCTGTCTATGTGTCAGTGCAGTTATAACTTACTGAGACTTTTAGTTATTTTAGTCCTCAGTAAAGAACTTTATTTAAACTTTACTCACGCATCATCATTTATATTAAGATGGATAAGAAACTCTTACAGCAGTAATTCCCAACCAGGTGTACATGCACCCCAGGGGGTACTTCTGCAGTTGCCAGGGGGTACGTGAAAACATTTAGTCAACTAATATAAAAACTATAGAACTTAAAATTTTTAATTAAATAAATATGTATCAACATACTGAGTCAGCTGTAACACCGGGACAAACAGAGCCAGAGTGCTGCTATTGTGTATGTGGCTAATTGAAAAGGCTCTGTTACACTAAATGGAACACAACCTTAATTAGTATCATTAATTAGTAACTTGTTTTTAACCTACTATCTCATGACCAAATGGCTGCTGTGAAAAAGGTTGATCGATAGTGCATGAATACTTGTTAGTAAGCAAGCAAAGGATACTGCATAGCGGGATAAAAGTAATTAATAAACGGTCAAAATAATAAAAAGTAACAAATAAACTGTCCAAAATGTTAGTCAGAAAGGGTATAAATGATTGGAAAAAAAACATCTAAAAATCTGTAGATGGTCAAAAAGCCTAAAGGTAACAGATAAATTGTTGAAGTAACCAAAGGTAATGGATAAAGGGCTAAAAAAGTTAGCAAACCAAAACAGCTGACAGACAGTTGTACTGTATGTAAAAAAAACTATTCTAATAATATCCACTTTTGTATCGTCAATAGTGTTACATAGTGTCTTTTAAATCAGTTCAAATGAACACATTTGGAATATGACCTTTAGTGTTGATGAAGGGGTATTTGAGTTCACAGGACTGTGGGGGTAAGTCTGAAATAAAGGCTGGGGACCTCTGTCTGCACCGCTACTCATGGTCCCATACTGCCACCCAGTGTATTTTGGTATATATGCATCATTCCACTCTGTTTTTGAATAAGTAATCGTCTGTGATTTCTGTTTTGCCGGCTAACATGTTGGTGTGTCAGGTTAAAGATGCTGTTCTGAAAAATGTCTCACACACACATACACAATGCCACCACTACTTGCCTGGCTGTTTTTTAAGGTGCAACCCTGCCATTTCATGAACAATCAATTTCCAAAGTAAAATAATGCAAATTGAATTTCAAAGGAAATTAAATGGAATGATGAGTTTATGAGAATTTGCTTTCAAGTAAGCACGATTAAGGAAAAACCTTCAGACTATCAGCATCTGCTATGCAATAGAGAATAATAACTTATACATCAGTAAGCAAACATACAAGAGTCTCCAGGTCTGTGTGGCAGGCAGGAAAAGTACAACTTAAACACACAACATAAAAACTAACAACTGAATAAGAGACAATAACAAAAACTAGTGGTGCTAGTGATGTATATCAGTCTACTGCTGAGGGACTAATACAACACTACCGAAGGGTTTGTGGGTCTAAGTTGAAGTTACCATCTTCACTGTCCATCTGGGAACAACTATCAGTGCTGGCTGGTGGAGTATCATTAGAGTGTGTCTCATCAGGGCTCGACACACACTGGAGGTTTTCAAGAGTGGGACTGCTCAGACTGTCAGAACGCAGGTCGTCAGATGGAGTGGAATTTTGAGGAACCTCCAAAACTGTATCTTTGGGGGTCTTGTCCAATTGAAGCGGTTTATCCAGAGCTTTGCTGCGAGGTTTAGGGACCGGCTTATAAACAGGTTCCGCACAAATAACTTGAGACAGCAAGAAGAAGAAATAATATTGTTGCACTGTTCAGCTAAATATGGAATAGCTATTTGAATGTGACATCTAAACTACACAAGGCTTTGTTTCCACTGAGATATACACACATGGCAGACAGAATTGGCTTTGGCTACATTCACAAATATCCAGCAATGCAGCTCCCTCCTGCAGGGTTGTGCGGAGATGTGGTTCTGTTTATTAGGGTTCTAGAATGTAATGGCAGTGAAAGACTCAGAAAATAATGTTTTATTCCTCTGACTCACTGCTCTGTTTTCAGTAATGCCACTCCCTTTTTTATTTATTTTAGAAATTGTAGGCTTTTGTCAAAAAAATACGCTGATTTAAAACAGAGTATAAGTCATCAGAGAGCAGGAGGGGACTAATCAGTGGTTCTGAGAGTAACTGTAATCTTTACAGAAACAACCTGGGAACACTGTGGATGCATGTTTTAAACCTGAACTAGCTTAATGTGGACGTAGTCTAAAAGCCTTCTGCACTCTCTGTAGTGGCACTTTTTCTCAACTTGTTCTCACCATCATCGTTCTCAGGCTGAGATTTTTTGGCTTTGATAAATCTGCTTTTGGCCATCTCTGCTGGGGAAAGAGGAAAAACACAAAGTGACAGTCTTTCAGATAAGGAGATAATGAACTGACAAACACAGAGGTATGAATGTGGACCCAGTTTTTCTGTAGATTTGCACATTTTTGTAGTAAATTTGATGTTTCATAGTAGCAGTGAGACAGATTTGTTTACTGGATGTTACTACATTACTGAAGGGCAATGCAGGGCAACACGCTTTTTATTGACACCTTTAACTCAATATACAGGTTTTTATGGAGGCAATCTGAGTATATACGGATTCATTTCCCAACATAACATTTTTCCAGGATTTAGGGTCATTTTTATCAATTTCCAGGGAAAACTAGCCTCTAAAGTTCCATGTCTTCCAAGTTTTCAGGGAACCTTGACAGTTCACAAAGACTAATTACTGATCTAAATGAGGCTACGGTTGGTCTTTAAGCCAGCTAATCTAAATGTAGACTATAGTAACTATAGTCAAATAACAATTTAACGTATGCTCTGCACATCAGCATGCTGTGAGTGTGTGTGTTTTCACAGCTGTACATATCGCCATAGTATGTAATTGAAAGATGTGCAACATCAGCATTGTAAGTGAACAGAAAAGAAAAATTCAGTGAAAGAAAGAAAAGAAATATCCAGCGAGCCAGACAGACAGGATAGTGTTATAAGAGGAGCAGAAAGAAATCAAACAGCATTTTGAAAACATTAGGCTTGTCCAGTTGGAAATGGATAATGAGGACAGACATAGGTAAAGGAAACATCAGTCAACAGTGTAAAGGAGAAAAATACAAGTTAGGGTGGAAGAGGTACTTTGATTTAATAAGTTGCAGCAGGCAACTGACAGTTGTACATGGGTGCATTTCATGTCTCCTAACTGCATCCACATTTCCCTCACTTGCGTCTATACATGCATTCCTGGTGGGAGGGGCTAAGATACAAGGAAAAGAGAAGAAGGAGAGAAGGAAGGAGGAAATATGTTTTTAGAGAATTGAGATGTCCTTTCCTCTGAATCATCATGTGAAGCGACGTCTGTTTCTGATGACAGTGACAGCTAATAATAATAAAGACACACAGTTATCAGTGCCAGAGGAGCAGCCTGTTACCTGTTTAACAAACACCTGCACATGAATCCCCTGCATCATTGTAATGCACACACAGATCGCAGTTCAAACTGCAGCACTGAGATTGATCTGACAGCTGGGTTATAAAAAATAGGATGACGTTCTGATTAATAGCAGATGGATTGAGGGTGGCTAAAACAGGGTGAAGTTTCTCCTCATAGGGAGAGAGCTGGGCTCATTTACGAACGAAGAACAGCATAACTTCACTGATTATTTAAATCTCCCGACACGCAGACAGGATTTAATGTTAATTAATGTTCCCTAAGGTCACACACAGTCCAGGTTCATACAGGGAAACTGACAACTCCTCAGATCCCTCTGGAGAGTTTCCTCTGTTTACAACTACAGTTCTTAGTTTTGCTGCTTAATGATATTTGCGGCAGTAAATGGTAAATGGACTATACTTATATAACTTAGCGCCCCTATAGTCTGTCGACCACTCAACGCTCTGTACTATACATGCCACACTCACCACATTTGCTCACATTCATACACTGTTTCATGCACATAGGAGCAATATGGTGTTAAGTATCTTAATCAAGAGAGACATGCAGTGGGGAGGAGCCGGGGATCGAACCGCCAACCTTCCAATTATTGAACCCTGCTCTACCTCTGAGCCACAGCCGCCCCAGCAGTCACATTACTGTGTGCATGAAAACATTATTATTTACTTCTGCCTCAAGGGAGGGTTGGGGAGTAAGAAAATATAAAATAAGAAGCTCGGGTTGTAACCCTTGAGACAGATAATCTGTGAAAAAAAGTTCCTCTGGCTCCTCCAAGAATATTCTGGGCCAGAATGAAAACAGCCAGTCAGAGCAGAGAAAGATAGTTGATTTTTTGAGTATCGTTCCCAGGTCCCCTCTTTGGACCCAAAGTGACTCTCACTCTCAATACTGGACCAAATTCAAAACTTGTTGTCCCCAATTGTCAATTTGACTCAAAAACATTGGAAAATAAGATCCATGTTGAAAAATACCAAACGCCCTTTAGCAGACCAAATGCACTGATTTCAGAATGGGATTGTTATGTCAAGTCAGGAAGTAATGCCATTCAAATTCAGTAAAGTTGTGTTGTGTAAAGTGTGGATCTCTGCATACCAACTGTACATAATGTATCTCTCTCTCGATATTCCCCAGCAAGCCAGCGACCTCTATTTGGTTTTGCCATGAATAACTACTTTTATGGGCGTTTAATTGCTGCCAGCTGTTAATTGCAGGAACATATGCTCAGATTGTCTCTCAGTCCCACCCTGGACTGCAGAGCTCAAAACCCCAGCACAACTGCAGCCACTGACGTCACACATTCTCATTCTGAAAAGTGCCAGGCAGACAAAGGCCAACATGTCTGGTGTGATGGATGCTACATGATGGAGGATTCCCTCCTCATTACTACCTCGACCGCTGTGCTCGTCATCTTGCCACCAGGACACTGTTGTTTTCTGGGCTGGTTTCCGACTGCTTTTAGCACCGGGCTGCTTGTCAGAGCTTGTGAAATCCACCGAGTCATCTGAAACAGACTGACAGGGAGTCCGGTTTCAGTCACAGAGATGCCTTCAAGATAAGACTGTGTATATTAAACCATGACATTGTTTGCTTTTTGTGTCAATCTTTGATGTTAAAAGGTCCAGTGTGGGAGAGTTAGTCCTTGCTGCAGCGGCCACAGGTTCGACTCCAGTCTGTGACCCTTTGCCGCATGTCCCCTCTCTCTCCTCCCTTTACTGTCATCTATTGGAGGCATTGCCATGTCATTTTAAATAGAAATCCATGTTCTCCATGGGATGAATCCGACCGACTTTGGTGATTCCCTGACTGTTTATTTACCAACACCATGAGGTTGACAGATATGGTTTTGAGTGAAATGTATTAAAAGTCAAGTGTGTAACATGGAATGTAATAGTCATAGGTATGTTTTTATTAGTGTATGATCACCTGAAAATAAGAATTGTTGTGTTAACTCAGAATGAGCTGTTTTTTATCTACAGACGCTGTGGGTCCACCATGTTTCAACAGTAGCCCAGAAGGGACAAACCACCAGCCACCATAGTTCGCAATGGACCTTTAAAAGGTCAAGCACCAGTGTCGAAACGTGTGTAAATGCCCCTATCTAGAGCCAGTGTTTGGTTTGTCCCTTTAGGGCTACTGTAGAAACATGGTGGTTCAACATAGGAGGCTTATTCTAAGATAACAAAAACACAATGATTCTTATATTCAGGTGATTATTCACTAATGGAAACATACCTATGAACACTATATTCCATTTCTGACAATAGATGTTACACACTGGACTTTTAAGTATCCAGATTTCTGTCATTATTGTGGCATTTCTGATATTAGCCAACATGATGGAAGATATTGCTCGGCTGCTGCTTAGATTTAGAAGACAAAAGTCAGATACTCATTCTTTTATGAGTCTTACAGTGTTTTTACATCTAGTCAGTGCTATAATATGCAATAGAGTTGGTTTGGATAGGACAGATGGACACATTTCAGTTATGTTGCTACTCGTAACAATTCAGGATCACTCATCACACACTAGTCTTTTTGGGCCTCTGAAGTTGTTAAGGTCAGACCTTGTAACATTTCCATTTAAGATTAACATTAAGACCACAGCAGCATAAGATGAAACAGATGAAATACATATTTTGTACCGCCCTCTAAAATCACTGTAATACATTCATTTTCTAGATCTCTGTCTCTTATGCAGCGAAAAGTAAATCAGTTCAAAATCAGGGCTTATAAAGCATAAGGTTTCTTTGCATACAGTACGACAGTAGTTTTTCTACACAGTATTACTTTACCTCCTTCAAGAACAGCTCAAACTGTTCATCCAGCTCCTCCTTGGTCAGCCTCTGAGACATAGTGATACGGTCCACTCCATCAGCCAATGGGAACCCAGACAACTGACATAAAGACAGAGAGAATTTGGGAAAGAAATTACACCTCAGGTGTGTAGCATAGTTTAAAACAAACATTATAAGCATTAAAATGTCTAACTTTGACAAGGTGAGTTACGGTATTTATAAGTCTCATTATGTTGTTTTCATTGTGATGAATACTAACCCAGAACACTGGCAATCAATATCAATATTACAAAATATTAGAACATAGGGTTTTAAAAAGAAAATGTTCAATCACATCCACAAAGTGAAAGCTCAGTTAGGATTTCTTTTGTCAAACAGCGTACATAGTCATAAAAGTGTAATCCAAAAGTGAGCGGCTGAGAAAGGCCTCTTAATCACAAGATAAAGAAATCCTTTATGTACACCAGAAAATACAGTGTAATCTGTAGAACTAATACAGTATACTCCAGCTTGTTGTTACAATATTGATGACGAATATGGCTAAAGTTTTGTCTTTACTTTGTGAGACTTGTCAAAGCAGGACAGGCACAATCTTCATAAGGATAGCTCAATTCCATTTAAACTGTTAGGTAACGTTATCCCGGTAAGCTGTGTCACAATAGAAGAATCTAGGCACGTAATGCAGCCATTATCAATGCTACTAACTATTCTAACTTTCAGATAGGTATTTAAGGTAATCTTTTCACTAAAGAATTACTTGGGTCTGATGGCTGATTTCTACCAGGAATCCCACAATGTTATTAACCTAACTTAAGTGCTCGGCGTACGACGCTAGCGAGCTCTGTAAACCATTCGTAAAAGGTGAAAATGTACTGAAATAAAATGCTACTTGCTAAAGTATTTTATGCCGAATATTTCACAACAGCCCATAAATTAAGAAAAAGCGAAAGACATTGCACCACAACATTACCAGATTTGCGAACGGGGACAAGCATTTTAAAATACATTGAACAGAGAACGGGATATGTCAGTTGGTCAGGTGTCAAGCTCATAGGATTCAACAGTACTACTTCCGGTCACAACTGTCAAAATAAAGCCGCAACGTTACCCGCTAAAAGGACATTTAACGTTAGCCAGCGTTAAATTCGGTCGGTTAAAGTACACATATAGATAACCCAACTTGATAACTACCCTAACCTCAGATGTAGGCAGAGCCAGGTACAAATTTAATTTATTTCACTGGGAGAACGCTCATAAAATCATGAATTTCGATTGTTTTCTCATATAACGTTTAAATAATATATTGACTCCTTTTCGTCTACAGCTAATTAGTTATTAAAAGGAAACAAACTCTGGTTCTCCTTATAGCCTATATGTCACTTTAGGTAACGTAAACACAAACGGCAGCGCAGTAACGTCGGTGCCCCAAGTGCTGCCTCCCTTCCGGTGTTTTTCGGGAAAATTGACACAGCCAACAGTAACGTTAGCTAAGTAGTTTATCGAATTAGCTAGTAACGTGAGCTGTCTAGAAGAGTAAACTAACGTTTGCCACTAAGTGCCGAATAAAGCTCCTCACTTTCAGTAGCGTAGTCTTTTCAGTCTGGTATCGATAGAACTCACATTAAAGACTTTAACAGGCTCTCAACTGATGAACACTTGATGAAACGTCCCCCTCCCTTCTTGTTTTGAGTGTATGTTCCCGCGACAACTCCCGGGTGACAAAAGCAACCTGATTGGCTAGGGAAAAAAACGTCATAAGAAGTGATAACCAATGGGCATACAGAAGGATAAAGCGAGTACTCGGGGGTTGGGCATGCATGAACGTTTCATGGTCAAAAGTATGTGGACACCTATGTGCAGATAAAACTATGACACACAAAACAAATGTTTTATTCACCCTGTATTAGCACTGCCATGTTATTCTGATGACTGATGATTATAATTCAGACTTCATTTGAAAGATAAACTGACCACCAATTTTGAGCGTTAAAGGTCCAGTGTTTTATTTTCATTAGTGTATAATTACCTGAAAGTAAGAATCATTATGTTTTTGTTACCTTAAAGTTAGGCTTTTTTATCTACAGGTCTCCTTCCATGGAGGTCGCCATGTTGAACCACGCTGTTTCTACATTAGTCCAGAATACAACATGAATATATTTGGGTTTTGGACTTTTGCTTGAACACAAGACATCTGAATATATTCATTTGAGCTTTAGGAAATTGTAATGAGCATTTTTCACTACTTAATGGACACAACAAACGATGATGACAATCATCGTTTTCGATCATAGCGTGATCAGTGAATGATTAGGCATATTTTCTCATTTCTCTCAAATGTATATTTTTAATTACCTAATTTATAATTATTTTAATTATGACTAATGTATAGACGATGTGTGATATGTCATGAAATACTTTCTATACACAAGTGCGCTCACACATTTGCCTGTACCTGCAGATTTGTGGTCAACATCTGTCCATCATGTCCATCTCACTACTAACATTCAAAACACAAGACACTGCTGTCACCCCGACATTGATTGATAGGTCTTTTAATACAGGAAATAACAGCCATGTAAAGCTCCTATAAAGCTGGGCTTCCTTCTCCAGAAGAGTGACACTGAATTAGTTATTGATTAAATCATAAGTATAGTACATTGTTATTTTGCAGTACCTCAGTGGCATGGACTGCAGTTAACCGTATCAGAAGTGTTTTTGTATCATATTTTAAGAGCATATATAGGAGTCATATTTTCTCCACTTGGAGGCAGTGTTTAACTGAAGATCAGTCTGTCTCCTCCGCGTGTCTGTGTACCTGGAAGGGCAGTCCGTCACCAGAGATCAGTAGTAATCTAATAAACTCTGACCTGCTCGCTTTCCTCTTTCTTTCAGAGGTCAGAATGGATCCATATAAACTCTGTTCTTACCTGCCTTCCTATATGGCTCTGTCCCTCATAACCTCAAACACTCATACAGTGTGTCAAAGATACAAGGAGGGAAAGAGACCATGTAAGCTGTTGTGTTTTTGCTGATCACCAGTTTATGTGCCTGAAAATTCCTATGGCCATATATCATCACGTCACACAGCAAACATAATGCTCTACAGACACACACACTCATATAATATCTGGTTATACTGTACTTTTATTTGGAAATGAAGCTCGCAAAGCAATAAGGAACAATAAATGCATTACAATCGTGTGTTATTCAGATCTAAACATAACATAAAAAGATAATGGAAGCTGTTTTTTGTGGGGGGAACTCACGTTAGACATTTTGAACAATAAAGAGAATCATGGCTGAAACTGCTTTGAAACACTATTATTTTATTGACTAGAAGTTCACCTAATGAGAGAATGTTTAATGACTACTCTGTTCATAGGTTTCACACTCTTCACTGTTAATCTGCCAATCAGGCAGTTATGGAATGACTAACTCTTATCAGATGGGGATCCTTGAGACTAAACCAAACCCGATCAATTTGGGGGTCCTTGACACCAAAAAGGTTGAGAACCACTGGCTTAAGGACTGGTCACACTTCCATTTTATGAATATTCACTCCATTTTCCATTCACTTCAATTGATGGACAAATTGTGTAGCATGATCTCCAGCCAGCTCCTGTGGACTTGCGCCTTTGTTTAACTTTGACCAAGTGGATATGCTCGTTTTAACAAAAGAAAAAAGGGTTATATCATATATCATCCTGATGTGTAAAAAATCACCATATTTAGTAAAATATCATTAAGTCATAAAATATGATGAATGGTTACAGTTTAATCTACCCAACAGTCAAACACATTTCACCTAGATCACCAAATGCTGCTGACAGGGTAGCACTCTTAGGAAACATTTGTTTAGGATGAGTAGGCCTATACGGGGGGCTGTGGCTCAGAGGTAGAGTGGATCATCCACTTATCGAAAGGTTGACGGTTCTTTCCCCAGCCCCTCTCGCTGCATGTCAGTGTCCTTGAGCAAGTTGCTCCTGTGGGTTGGTATGAGTGTGTATGAATGATTAGTTTCTATTCTGGTGAGCAGTTGACACTTTGCATGGCAGCCACTGCCATCAGTGTATGAATGTGTGTGAATGGGGTGAGTGTGGCATGTAGTGTACAGCGCATTGAGTGGTCGAAAGAGTAGAAATTTAATTTAACATGGGATCATTTTACTGTTATAATTGTTAAGTCAAACTGATAAAAAGTAATTCAGTGGACCTATTGTCACAACTTAAATAAATGCATGGTTGCAGGATAAAACTTCTAATTTCTTAATTTAGATAAACCTTTTAAGTTACAAATATTATTTTGATGAGTTGTGTTGACACAATGTGAAATTGGAATCTTTATAAGTAGCCTAACCAACTTAAAAACTTATGTTTATACTATTAATTATTAAGTAAGTGGTAATTAAAAAAATTCCTTTGATTGTAGAGGAAAAGCTAACACATTTGTTAAACATAATTCATTAGAAGTTGCCATAACTCAAAAAGTGATTTTAGTATTGCACTTCCATAATGTTGGTGGACTCACATGAGACAGATTTAAAAAAAATATCAAAATCGAAACAGCAGAGACTGCTATATCCTGACTTTTAGTCCCCGGTATGAGTAAAACTCCAAGAACACCGGATTCTACATTTCTAATAATACTGTCAAATCTCTTTATAACATGCTCCATGGCCCAAGGCATGTCTATCAAACTCTTGATTATTTTCTCAGACCTAACAAAGCTCCTACAGAGCCTCAGAACATTACACAACTATCTGAACAGACTGAATGACTTCCCATAAGTTGAGTTCCCCCGTACATTCTAATGTAATATTTTACTTTTGATGAAATATTCTTGTACTTTAGCATTGCCGCATTTTTTAGAGATAAACTCCCTAAAACTGAGCTGAGGTGAGATTTTGTGTTTTAGAAATGGTATATATGTCCAGTGCACCAAAGAGAGGTTTTATTAAATCTTCTGGATGTTCAGAGAATCCAATGATACTAGTGGGCTGAGGTGGTACAGGAAAGACACTTGGAGTAGTAGTAAAAGTGGAAATCCTGAGGATATACGTACGTAGACCACGGAAAAGTGAGAAGAGCATACGTAGGCTTTTAAAAAAAAATGTCTTCATGTACTCAGTGAAAGACCTCAACGCTGGCGTAATAGAAATACTTGTCAGTGCCTTCGTTATGAGTACAGGAACTCCAGTGACCCCTAGGTGGTCCAGGCAGGAGTGGAGTTGAGATCTGGAAGGAAGTGGAGAGAGGATGAACTGAACATGAGGCAGTAGGGGGACAAAGTAGGAGCAGACCATGTACTGACACGTCATGTGGACTGATCTCTGGCAAGCTGTGCCTCAGCGCATCAAGTTCCAGATTCATTAAGTCTATAATGTGTTGCCCAGCCCATCAAACCTCTTTCTTTGGGGCAAAGCAGAATCCCTGAATTGCCTGCAATGCTCAGACAAGGCGCCCCACCACTCAAACGATTTTGTAAAGGCTGGAGTACAGCTGCCATGTGGCCTACAGCAATCATGGATACGGCGCAAGACTGACAGTTTTCCATGGACCCTGAGAAACAGCTTAAGTTCCACCATACATTGCCATGACCACCTTGAGGCCAGACATCATCCTGGTCTCAGAAGAACATCGTTATAATGGAGCTGGCCATGGACTGTCGAAAGCAGGGCTGGAAGGCAAAGGGTATGCCCATGGAGGTTGGCTGCAGATGTTTTGCAGGACAATCCCTCTACAAAGTCTGTATAGATATTTGTTGGTAAGTGTTCAAGAGACTTTCCAAGGTTCCAAAATGAGGAGAAAAGTCAGTCAAGAGTTTCCTTTGTGCTGCAATCAACGACGATAATGAAAGTCTGCAGTGGCGAAGTTGGAGTCAGTAGAAGAAGGACTGGGGCTGTTTCCACTTTGCGAATCGCATTGCATCTATGGGTGACGAGACTTTTACTACTAGTGGCTTCCTTTCCTGTACCATCCCAGTCACTAGCACCATTTGGTTCTCTGAACATCCCGGATATTTAATAAAACCTCTTTTTGGTGCACCGAACATTCAACAGTCAAGAGGTCTGAGCCTATTGTAATAGCCTCTCTGGGTCATTCGCTCTTAGGATAATCCCGAAAAGATGCTTTAGGAGTTTCCTACACAACAGGGTGGCCTTCAATAGGTCGGTCAGCTTTTTTCTATTGGGATCCCACCTTAGTAGATTACTGTGTCAAATGCTGTCGTGACTGGGTGCAATTGTTTGGTCCATCTTATAGACCACTCTCAGGATTTAAGCTGGCGAGACAACAATGGAATAATCATAAAGTAACTGTTGGTGGTAACATTAACTGTTGATGTGTAAATTATTGAGGGTTAACTTTTTCTTTTTTAAGTTTTTTTAGTTTACTTTATTTTTCATTATCAACTTACTTGCATTGAGATGATAAACGTTATATAAAAAGCTGTTCTTCTTCTGTCTTTCCGTGCAGCCATTATTTGGCCTGCAGCAGTAACTACAGCGGCAATGACACAATGTTGTGCAGCCAAAAAACTCAA